ACCTGGATGACTGAGAAAACAAACTTTGTGTATCACAAACATACTACAAAAAGAGTCAGGAAGTAAAAGTGTAAAGATTTTGGTAGGGTTTTTCATTAAAACAAAGCTGATCAATAGGACATTATGATTAGGACAGACAACACATACACGATAAATAGACGTTCTGACCTACACTCCATACCAGTCGGTGGCGGTAATGCACACTATAAGTTGTTTGCCAACCGCCATTAAAAAAACTGAAGAAGAAGAAGAAGAAGAAGTTTGGCATGTGAAAGTCACGTGGGTCATGCAGTCAAATAGTTCCAAACATCAGTAGTTCCAGCATTGAACGTACTTTGGTGTTTCTGAAGTGTTTTCTTCAGTAAGTTGATGAAAATACAACATTTTTTGCCATTGTGTAGCGTTAACTGACTGTTCTGTACCACAGTTTATCAACATTAATACTTCATGTCGCCAGTTTTAGTTAACTAAACATGTTAACTTGCTAGTTGTGTATTAGCCGTTATTAGCTGTTTTTCTGAGAGATTGATGTGGTTAATTTAGTTCAAGGCGTAGATCTTTTGTCAAAGACTGCATTATAAATTGGGACATTATCATTAAAGAAAACAAGATCATTGAGATGAGTAATTTAAAAAAATGTTTTCCAGGTAAACCACAGGAGAATGACTTCTGTGAACTGTTGAAGCATGTTGTAGTCAAAGTATCACAAAAGTAACAAGATCTCATTTTCTGTCTTCTCTTAAACAACAATAGCTGAATAAAAATCATTAATAAAATTACTTTAGCACCATAACCTTCAAAAAGTTTGTAATTACTGCAGGACTGTTAATTTACATTTGTTTTATATTATTAGTTTAGCGTATGGTAATCATGGGTCAAGTTGAGATGAGACTCTCTTTCATGACAGAACAAGAAATAATAATTATTACCAAGAATATATCAGCATCAATAAACTGTAGAACGGTAACAAAAAAAAAAAAACTTATTAAACTATCACAGGTAACACTACTGACATTACATTCATGTCCATCTTTATGTTTTCAGATTGAGTGGTGAGCTAAGAAATGACCAGGTTGGTGGAACTGGTCAATGATTGAAAGATGGAGCTGGTAAGTTAATGGTGGAGTGCTGGAGCTGACTGGGTGATGTTGAGGCTTTCAAAATTAAAAGTGATCAGAAATTAATTTGTCACATACCAAATGCAAGCCTTGCAACAACTTTTTCTGAAATTTACTGAAGATTCCAAGACTACGTATGGCTATAACTATGTATGAATATAACTTATGCAGAATCAGTGAAATTAAATAAATGTAAGGGACATTAAAAAAATCCCTCCAAGCATGCATCCATATGTACAGGCAGGTGTTGAAGCTGCACTGGGTGGTGTGGCATTTGCAAAGGAGAGCCCAAGCTCATCAGAGTCAAGAGAGATTGTCATTCGCATCTCATGTGGTACATTTGGTGGAACGAGATTATGTACACAGGGTCCCAGTTACATCAAACAATAAAATGTAAAATAAAAACAGTAATAAGATCTAAGATATGAACTAAGAAAAACATCAACTAAATAATGCACTAAGTACTAATAGCATAAAAACAGTAAACAGTAAACGTCCAACAGCAGCACTCCATGGCAGCAAACAAGGTGTTTGGTGGGGGCTTGCTTGTTGTGGTACATGATGCTGTTTGGCATTGTCTTTTCTTCAAGTTTTTTTTTGTCTGGCTTCTACTTCCAAGACAGCACTGGACAGAACTGTTTTTCTTTCAGTGAAGATATGTTTTGCTGCTATTCTTAGTCTCAGCCTGATGAACCTGCTGGTTATTTTTCTTTGCACATCATGACATGAAGGACGCATGCTTTCTAATAGACTTGCTTCTCTCCCTACAGTATCGATGGCATTGGGGAGCTCCATGAAAGATTGACCGGTCCTTGTTCTGAAAAGCTTTTCAACTTTCTGGACCAGACTGAAGGCTTCTGGGTTTTCTGAGGTCCATGGTCAACACCAAGAAGTTTTAGAGCACTTCATGTTTCCTGCTGCTGATCAACTTTATGGAGATTCAGATTTCATTTTCCAACAGGACTTGGCACCTGCACACAGTCAAAGCTACCAGTACCTGGTGTAAGGATCATGGTATCCCTGTTCTTAATTGGACAGCAAACTCACCTGACCTTAACCCCATAGAAAATCTATGGTGTACTGTGAAGAGGAAGATGTGATACACCAGACCCAACAATTCAGAAGAGCTGAAGGCCACTACCAGAACAACCTGGGCTCTCATAACACCTGAGCAGTGCCACAGACTGACCCACTTCATGCCACGCTGCATTCCTGCAGTAATCCAGGTGAAAGGAGCACCAACTAAGTATTGATGCTGTACATGCTCATACTTTTCATGTTCATACTTTTCAGTTGGCCAACATTTATAAAAATCTTTTTTTTTTTTTTATTGGTCTTAAGTAATATTCTAATTTTTTGAGATACTGAATTAGCTGTCAGTTATAATCATCAACATTAAAAGAAATAAACATTTGAAATAGATCAGTCTGTGTGTAATGAATTAATATAATATACAAGTCTCACGTTTTGAATGGAATTACTGAAATAAATTAACTTTTTCATAATATTCTAATTTTATGACCAGCGCACCTGTATGTCTTCTATTCTGGCTTTTTTTGTTTGTTTGTTTTGTCATTCTTATAAAGAAGTTGAAGGGAGTTTTGTTCTTTTTTTTTTGGTTTGTTTGTTTGTTTCTTATGGTTGAAGCTGATGGCTCCACCCATGTTGGGAGAGGGGCATTTCAAATAAACCAGTTATTGATCTCAACAGAACATTTCATCTAATTTCAAATCACTTTGCACTGAAATATGTAATATTTTGTGAGTCCAATATTGACTTTTTTTGTGATGAAATAAACAAAACGTTGTTTTGTGGGTAATCCTTTGATGGTCCAAATGTCAAAATCCACTGTGAAAACTGCAACAACATAAAAGCTCCACCTTATGTTGTTTAGTAAGCTTTACACATGATGTTGGTTTAATAATAAACTTCTTGTAATGACAGATAATGATGTGAACTGGAGTAAACCAGCACACTGCACCTGACCAACCCAGATGTTTAATTGAAACACAACTGGACTTCTAAACATCATTGAGCACAAAAAGTTACTGAACAGCACTGAATAGTTAGTTACCATGGAGATAAGATGGTTCAAATTGGGTTTACTTATGGATTCGGCAAACTACCGTCTCTGAATTTTCTCTGTTCTTGTGTGTTTTTAATCAACATACAAAAAAGGTCAGGATATAAGCTTATCGGTGGGTAAAAATCAAATTAATTCACCGCCATTTTGGACATGTACACAAGCAGCAAACTACACGTGCAGGGGCCAGAGAACTTCGGGGTCGGACCGCTTGTCAAAATGAAATCACGATAATCGAAAGTGAGCGCTCGTTATCCGTTTTTTCCATTTTCGTGTTGTGCACAAAATCAGAAATCGGATGACGCTTCAGGTCCTAATTGTTCCCAACAGATAGTTCTCAATCTGGATAAAATTGTTTCACTGAATGTCAGATAATTACTTTAATTTCTTAAATTATCACTCTACCTTTAGACGCATCAGAAACTGCATTGGCAAAGATTTCCTGTTAAAAAAGAAAGAAAGTTAATGAAAATATCTGAATTTGAATTTAAGATTTAAATCTGCTCAGACTGTGTGTTCTTCCACTTTGCTCACCTTTTTTAAGTAGCACGCAGCTCTGTTCCTGTAAATGACAGCCAGCACCTTCTTGTCCTGACACACCTTGATGGCGTTGGTGTAGCACTCAATGGCCTTGTCAATATCTCCTGCCTGAAAGTGTTTATTTCCTTCATCTTTTAACTGGATTGGGTCTCCCATCTGACAAAAAACAGGGTTATTATTTATGACATGTAAAATAAACAATTATCTTACAGTTTTTTCCTGGAAAATTAAATCTCTTCAGCCTAGTAAAGGTCTTACGTTTTATGTTTGATCAGTTTTGTGTCTGATGGTGTCAGTTCTCTGTTCAAACCTGAATTTTTCAAATCGTTGAAACAATCAAACATGCACACAGTATTTATCATACACCCTTGATTTATACAACTTAACATCTTGAATCAGAACAAATGGTTTAAATGAGTTTAACACATCTGGTGAACATACTTGTTGGGCCATTTAGAACAATAAAAGGAGTTAGAATTAGACATAGTATAACCAACAGACTTGTGCAGTACTTGATTTACTTTATTTATCAGAAGCATAATAAGCATAATCTGTCTATTACAATATCAGTTAAAAAGTAAATTCTTCTTCTTTTGATTCTCACCATTGCAAAGGACTGTGCCGACGGGTCTCCTGAAGCAAATGGCCATGCACGTGCTTATCTGTAACTTTACATGGCCTCCATTCAAGCCTTATTTGGACATCATCTCACACCCCAGTCTGAGCCGTACAAGAAATGCTTATTTCTAATGCATACCTGCTTCTACTTCTCTAACCTGATAGTTTTTTTGTCCTCTAAATATCTACACAATATCTGACTGTCACGCAGAGGAAAACAAAAGTCTTAGTGGAGGCTGTACTCTACCTTCAGGTTGCGTGTCTTGGTTTATCCTCGTCTTTCTCCTTTCTTTTAATTTTAAGTAAATGATCTTGACCACCAGTCACAAGTGTTTCAGCAGACTTGTTCAATCTTCTGGAACCATCTCCCACCCATGCCTTAGTTTATATTTATAGTGATGGTCAATACAGTTGGGCAGTGCTAATGTGGTCCAACTATGACACAAAGGGGGCTCCAACCAAAACACAATCAGCCCCTCAAGGAAAACTATGCACTGAATTACTATAAAGCAGTCAGTGATGACTATATTCAATATTTTGTTCAGATCTGGTGATATGCTTGAACTATCTATGGAGAAAGCACCTTTTTGGAAAAAACAAAAAGTTAAGTTTAAGAGACCCCCTTACAGGTGGTTTGCTCCTGATAAGGTCTATTTAGGGAACAGACAGCTGAGAACTCACCAGCAAATGTTCACTGTGTTGGGGGTGGAGGGTGGGGTTAAAGAGTGGGGGGAACTGTTGTGGGGGGGCTGACAACTGCATGTCCACAAGAAGCTGGTAGCTTCTGGAAAGACTGTGATTTCACACGTCATAAGTTGGAGATGAACGTGATGGTTAGAAGAAATGTCAAGGACTAAAATGTTAAATAAACCCAGGAGCTGTTTGCAATTAGCACAATTTATTGAGGAAAAAGTGCAACTACAGCTTTAACAAAGTCCATGCTCAATAATCCAGGTATACAAACCAACATTTTTCAGTCAGTTCATCTGGACAGTTTCTTTTTTTTCTTTTTTTTTTTGGTGCTGAAACGTTTCACCTTTGATTCGGAAGGCTTCATCAGTCAAGGAAACACAACAAAACTGATTCTTCCCCCAACAGCTTACTCCAAAGTGGAACAAACCAGTTATGTTGGTGCTAAGATGGTCTCTTTGTCACGCCCCTCCTCCATTGCTGGCCCTCTTCCTTGCTGACAGTCATGTCAAACTGGTTGAAAACAACTGAAAAATGTTGGATTGTATACCTGGATTATTGAGCATGGACTTTGTTTTCAACCAGTTTGACATGACTGTCAACAAGGAAGAGGGCCAGCAATAGAGGAGGGGGCGTACCAAAGAGACCATCTTATCACCAACATAACTGGTTTGTTCCACTTTTGAGTAAGCTGTTGGGGTAAGAATCAGTTTTGTTGTGTGTTTCCTTGACTGTAGCCTTCCGGATCGAAGGCGAAACGTTTCAGCACAAAAAAAAAAAAAAGAAACTGTCCAATGACCTGACTGAAAAATGTTGGAACTACAGCTTTAGTTTTTGAGATCTGAATGACTCCTCTATCATCACCATCCATCCATTATCTTTACCCGTTTATTCCATTTTGGGTCACGGGGGTCGCTGGTGCCCATGTCCAGCAATCACTGTGCGAGGGGCGGGGTACACCCTGGACGGGTCGCAAGTCCATCACAGGGCCACATAGAGACAAACAACCATTCACTCTCTCACTCACACCTAGGGACAATTTAGAGTTACCAATCAGCCTAACATGCATGTTTTTGGTCTGTGGGAGGAAACCGGAGTGCCCGGAGAAAACCCATGCATGCACGGAGAGAACATGCAAACTCCACTCAGAAGGGCCCCTGGACCGGGGTTTGAACCAGGGACCTGCTCGCTGAGAGGCAGCAGCTCTACCAGTTGCGCCACTGTGCTGCCCCTTCTATCATCACATTCTTCAGTAAAAACCTTTGGATTTCAATGGCTTTGTATATGCTCTCATGAAAGGCCTTTCTGGAAATAATTCATATCGCCCGCTGCCTTTCATGCAAGAGTTTTACACTAAGATCTTGTTACGATGAGAAGGGACAGAGTTATGACTGTTTTGGTCAAACCTTGTAAATGACACGATCTTATGCGATATTGTAAGATGTAATAGTACTCAGAAAATGCTATGTTAATGGCACTTAGCTACTACCATGTCAGACTTTAGGTCAATATCTTTAAAAATGAGCTAGAGCCATTTTTGTGCTTACCAAGTTTGATTAGCTGTGACACTCATCTATCCATCTGTTATCGTTACCCGCTTCTTCCCTTTTGGATCATGAGGGTCACTGGCATTGACTCCATATGTTAGAAGACTGAAGATGTACATCCAGTGATTACCTTCTGAAAGTTTCATTAACATCCATTCAGTGATTTGTAACATATTTTAAAATTTCAACGATTCAATCTTACACTTCTGTGCATATTTGTAAACATTTTCATATATTTAATGTTTCTTTTATTTTTATTAAAAAAAAGAAGCAAACAAGAAACTTGAACCTGAAACATTTTATTTTCTTCACTGTATTTTGCACAAAAGTAACTTTTATCAGGCTGCTTTTAAAAAAGCAGAAGGTTTCTGAAATCCAGACAAAGAAAATAACTAACTAACTAAATTCATTCAACCTTTATTTAGACAGGTTAATCCCATTGAGCCTCGAGGACTCATGTACAAGAGACCTGATTTCAACAAAGAAAGATGACAACAATGGACAACAGCAACAATAATAAACAGTTATAAAAAGGCATACAGTTTTTTTTTTTTTTTTTTTTTACAAATAAGATGGCAAAAAAAGTAACAAAAAACAGCTAGATTCTAAGGTGAATGTAGAAAACTAAAAACAGGAACATGTCTGCATTGGTCCTTGCCAGGAGTCCAACAGATTCTTAAAGCCACTTAGAGAGGTCAAAGTCGAGAGTTTCAGGTCTTTTTGTAAGATATTCCAGGAAACAGAAGCAGAGTATGAGAAGGCCCTTTCACCTAGTTCAGTCCTCACTGAGGGAACACTGCAGGTAATAATGTCCTGAGAGTGCACGCTGTAGCTGCACTCACGCAGAGACATGTAGAAGGAGATGTATGAAGGCAACAGACCAAGAAGTGATTTAAAGATGAAAATGTACCAGTGAGAGAGTCTGTGTGAAGTAAATGATGTTCAGTTAACCAGTGAATACAGGGTGCAGTGGTGGGTACGATAATCACAGCCAGTTATGAATCTTAGTGCACCATGATAGACAGCATCCAACATCTGCAGGGTTCTTGTAGGAGCGTTCATGTAAATAATGTCACCGTAATCAATGGAGGGAAGGAAGGTCACAGATACAAGGCGTTTTCTAGCATTCGAAGTTAGACAGGATCTGCTTCTGAAAAAGAAACCCAGTTTAACTTTCAGTTATTTTACCAAGTTTTCCACGTGAAGCTTAAGAGAGATGCGAGTCGACCAAGATTCCCAACTATTTATAGGAATCAACAAACTCAATGGGGAATCGGGGACACCATTTGAGGATAAAATCAGAGAAAGAACTGCTGGGACCGACTTCCTGTTTGAAAAAAGTATCCCTTTGGTTTTGTCGGCATTTAAGACAATAATAAATAATAATAAATAATAAATAAATAAACCAGCTTCCAATTTAATAGATAAGAAAGACTAAATAACTTCAACTGGCATGATGCTTGTTGTTAGGTATAATCATTTTTAATGTTTGTGCAGCAGCACGGTGGCGCAACTGGCAGAGCTGCTGCCTCTCAGCAAGCAGGTTCCCAGTTCAAATCCCAGTCCGTGAGCATCCGTGGGTTTTCTACGGATATTCCGGATGCATGTTAGGTTGATTGGCAACCCTAAATTGTCCCTAGGTGTGAGTGAGAGAGTGAATGGTTGTTTGTCTCTATGTGTCCCTGTGATGGACTTGCGACCCGTCCAGGGAGTACCCCGCCCCTCGCACAGTGATTGCTGGACATGGGCACCGGCGACCCCCGTGACCCAAAATGGAAGAAGCGGGTAAAGATAATGGATGGATGGATGCTTGTGCGTGAGTATGAGTATATATTAATATAACTTAGTTACTTCGAATAAATAATAAATAAATAAAGTGCTATGTGTTGTCATCATTGTATGTTCCCATACAAGTGCGAAATTAGTTCTCTGCATTTAACCTATTGCACCTGGGATACACCCAGGTGGAGCAGTGGGCAGATATGTAAGTGCCCGGGAAGCAATTGGGGATTGGGTGTCTTGCTCAGAGACATCACGACATGTGGGAATGGCCGGAGATCGAACCTGAGACTTTCGGGTCCCAAGGTCGGCTGCCTTACCTCTACCTCATCTCGGCCCGCGATTCAGATTCAAACTACTTTATTTATCCCCAAAGGACAACTCAGTTTGGCAAATTCTAGATTTCCACCTGTAGCTAACATATACATGTGCTCATAAGGTTAAGGTTAAGCATCCTGATGGCAAAAGGAATAAAGGAGTGAGACAGTCTGATTGTCTTCCTGCTTGGTGCTTTAAAGCAGTGGCCTGAAGGCATCAGTGTAAATTCAGAAGACAGAATGTGGTTCCATCGGGATAATATTTCCCTACCTTTGTGAAGCACCTGCTTCTTCCACAGGGAATGCAGGTCCCTCTGCTGGACCCAGCTTATTTTGCAACAAACCTTAATGCTCTGAAGGCTGTTCATAGCCTTTACAAACAGACCACGAACCAACAAATAAAGGAAAAAGTTAAAATACTTTCAATCTCAAACCATCCATCATCTCAATCCATTAGTCTTGTGGCAAATTTGTGCCTTGAATAGGAATTTAATAGAAATACTTCCTGGACTTTGGGATTACAGTACAGTACACAAATTGATAGTAATATTGTTATCACCACCAGGTGTCATCCATCCATTCTGGAATTTATGCACTAATGAGAATTAAAATGAGGAAAATGGCAATTTATTAAATACTATTTAACTATTGCATTATGAGCATCTAGTGCTTTACATGAGAACAGGTTTTCATTTGTGGAAAAAAAAAAATTGACTCACTTGTTTGAAAGTATTGTGCAACACTCTGTAAAGTGCTACTAATTTTAAGCCTGCCAGTATGAGAGGGGTAATATGAAATACTGTATATACACACATAGAATTCAAAGCTTTTCTAGAATTTCTAGAAGCGTTCTAGAATTGCGTTTTAGAATTGCGAATCTAGAAGCGTTCTAGAATTGCGCCGCTCAAGGTGGCTGCATGTTGGAGCAGCTCTGTTACTTTCATTCTGAGATTTTGCTTTTGGAAACTTTAATTCCTCTTTTTCTGGATGTAAATCACATTTTTTTGATGATTGTTTCCTCTGGTATCGGATG